TCCGTTCTGTCCAGGAATAACTTCGTTTGTAGCCTGCTGAATGTTTTGCGGGTGTCCACTAAAATTTCAGTATTGCATATGTTGAGGTGGAACTGAGAAACTAGCCTTCTTGACAAAAGGCTGACAGAATTTCACTCTACTAACTTAGACGGTGCTTCGTCTATTTTTCCGTCTGTTTTTGTAATCGGAGTGACGTTCTTCTTACGAGGAGTACTGTAAAAGACTTAAGGAGTTCTGTCGAGCTTGGCTGCGTTTGCCTCCTTGGTTGATTGGTGCTGATTCGTTAGCCATTGTTTCCGCAGTTATTCGTGTTGTGCGCTTACGGGCGGCAGCAACGCTTTCTGTACAACTGACGCGTCATAGGCATACTTAAAGTGGACAACGGAGAGAGTCGTTTTAGAAATGGAATAAAATGAATTTTGAAAATTTGAAGACTTCGAAAACAAGCTTCGATCCTGTGTTTTCTTCATTTCATGCGATGGTGCTATGGTTTTAGGCACAAACAATAGGCCGACGTTAAAGTTTATATTCGAACTGCCGCCGACGTTTCGGCCAACTGCACTGGCCATCGTCATGGTTTGTTTTGAGGATGTCTGATATTGCAAGGCCTGAAATACCGTTGTTTCGAATGAAGGCTTTGTCATCGGTCTGTTGTCTGTATATTAAGTTATTAAATCATCATTGATAGAATAATGCGAATGGCAGTGAAGGGTTTGGCCGGCGTATCGTATCCATGTTGTCGAACTATGATGCCCAACTTGCCCTTAAGAGAATCCATGACGTCGCGAGAACGAGGAGAGTAATTCGACGCAGTAAAAACATACAACAGCAGAAACACTTCCGCTTGTGCATTGTTTTCTCTTTTAAGAGTACTGTTTTCCAATGCCCCCCCCCCGTACCCTCATCCATCGTCCCTAGTGGACAGTCAGAATGTGAAATTACGACTCGAATAACAGCAGCAAAGGGCCAAACTGCTGTGGAAATGAGGAGAGATCAAACTGAAGACAATCTACCGAGTTTTGTAGACCTCAACTCGCTGTATCTTCGTTCAAGGATTTGAGGGCGAAAACCTAAAGAGACTAAGATCTTTCGACTATGTAAATTTTACAAAAAAAGAGGCAAAAGGCAGAGGGAATTTATCGACCATTTGTCTGGTTTTACCATCCGTGGCTGCTGGCAACATTGTTCAGCTTTTCACTGCCCTAAAGGAACAGCAGTCGCGTTGGCTGGGACACGGGAAGAAATATCCTTCAGGCAAGTTATCTGCATTGCCTTGATCGCCACCCTGATTCCTGCCCCGATTGCCACTAGAAAAAAGAGCTAAAAAATAACAAGACCTGATAGGACAGGGTCAGAGCTGGCGTTAAAATCCGCTGGAGACTGGCAGTGTACCGGAACAAACAGCCGAAGAAGGACTACCTGAACTTTGGTGTTGGTTGGTTGGTACCTGAGCTTGGCATTGAGGGTGATGGTGATCAACAGAGGTGGAAAACAACCATCCTGAATATCAGGGTTGTTGGTGGCAGCCGTAACAATATCTTCAGTCATTACTTTAACAGTGTCGATATTATATATTCTTTCTAACCTCTGGATAGACTCCAGAAGATGTTACGACGTTTTTTATCGACATCTGCATTCTACCATTAATTACGTTTGTTTAATTTTGTTGCTTTTGTACCTGCTTGGGTGAAATGGACTTCCATCGATTCTAAATCTTGTCGACAGAGCCGATCAAGCGTTCTACATGAAATTTCGTGCTTTAAACTTAGATCACTTGCTTTAGCTTATCCTCTCTACCAGGTGCACCAGGTTCTCAAAAAATCGTATCTGCGTATATACGAAAACTGATGGCTCTGCTTCTGCAAAATGCATTTCTGTAGCCGAGAGCGCTTTTCTTCTCCTCTCAGCATTCTGTCATTGATCTGTGACTTTTGATATTGCTAATTTAGTCACGATTATTCAGTACTAGTCACAGCGATAGTTTAGCTACTAGTTTAAGAGGATAATTTTTCCACTGTCTGATGAATCATACATTAGAACCGTGGCGTTTCTATGTGCAACGATGCTTACACTGTTTCACGGGCTGTGTGGCTTTCTGACTGCCATCGGAGACTCGCACAACTTGACCCGAATGTGCGATGTCCGACCGAAGCATAGAAGTGCTGTGTCGGCCATCGATATCAAACAACTCCATTCTCTGCCGCGACGAAAGTCATATTCCTCTTCACGTATTGTGCTAACTCTATGTAAATACTTGATTAATTTACATAAACATAATTCTGGGACATATGCGAGGAAACGTTGCGTATGAGCAGAAAGATAGCACTTACAGAATGGCAGGCTGTTGTGACGAATGTGCAGCTCGCAACAGGAGCAAGACGCAGTGCAGTACGTTCAAAATCTGACCCTGGACAAGTTGTGCTTCAAACAGAACACTCGGGAGTACCAACGTATGTTTTTGAAATCGTGTTATTGTTGCAAGACATTGCACAGCTTATTAAACATGGGTAGATTTTATTTAAGATTATAATAAAAGGTATTTGAGGTAATAAGTTTTGGAGGTTGATAAACGTCCCCTTATAAACACATGTTCGAATTCTACGGGCATGCGAAAAGGCGACGAAGCCAAAATTTTTTTTTCTTCGTGTATAAATCAGTCAGGTGACATGTGCAGCGGATAAACGATCCTGGTCGAGATCTGAAGCGATAAAATGAAGTGTATTTCGCGTCAACGTTTTGGTCTATGATGTGAATGGCCTTCAGTGCCGTCAATTGACTGACGTCATCAGTTCAGCTTGGATTTCGTTTTACGATGACGCGAACAGCTAGGCAGTCAGTAAGTTTCGATGACGGCTTATCCCTTCTCAGAGAAGACGTGTCTCTGACGCCTCCTTCCCTCTCCAGGTTCGGTGCCAGCGTCTGATCCTCCGCAGAAGAAAACATGACTCTGGAGCAGAGTTCGTCCATGCACTTCCTCCTGGCCATTCTCGGCTGTCCTCAGAGTCTTTGGCAGGTCGTTTGAGCAAGTAGTAGCTGTTTGCGCTCCTTCTTGCGAATAGCATGTGTTCTTGTTGTGATCATCTGCGTATATTTGCCTTTTCTGTTCATAGTACCGTTAAGAATGTTGGTGCTGTTTCCAAAGCAACGGGTCGCCAACTGACAATGTATAGATAGGTTTATTGAATTTGGCACATTTTACTGACCTCAAAAGTAAAGCGCGCTGTTTCACGGCCACATCTTACCACAGACTATGGTACGTAGTATTCAATATTCCTTTCAGCTCAGTGTTGCCTGCATATGGGTATCGAAAGCGCATATTTCTGGCAGTCCCATTGTAGAGAAAACTGTGGGTACTTATAGACGATGGACCTTAGAAGGCATCGATCTGGTCCTCGTTATAATCATTCATAAGTGCTAACGTATGGGACAGAAAAGTCCTGTGGCAGCTCAGTGCATAGCAATGTGCTCGGCTGATGTGCCCCTTAATAGCGCCGTATGGTGTGACGTTATGGGTACCAATGCTGTACCGCGCCCTTGCATCTAAACGCAGGGGGGGGGCAATTTCAGCAGGACACAACGTCATGGCATATTTTAGCAGTGGATGGATGTAACATGGCATGAGTGACTAGAATATGAATCAAACACGTTTTCACTTAAAATAGAAGCTATGGCTGAAGCAACCACATGCTGGTGTAATCTTTGTCACGAGTTAGTTTGAACTTCCTCTTCGCATCAGTGTAAGGTTCACTTTCTATGCTAATGACATCGCTCATAAACTCATTAGTGCGTTCATTTTGAAAGTCCATGTTATGTAATCAATAACGCAACAAGTTTGACGGGCAGCATACTGTGCTTTTTCTAAGTAAAGAAAACGATTAGTTGAGCATGATACCGTTAAGTTCATGATGATGTTATCGGTATCGGTAAGGAAATGATTCGGTTCTTAAGCAAAA